CCTCTTACCACTCTTCCTGACAACTTGTCCCAGTTGTTGATTAACTAACCTCAGTGTAAAGAAACATTTTCTGGTGTCTGACCTAAACTTGCCCTTCGCAATGCTGAACTTTTACCCTCTCTTCCTGCTGACTTGCTGTATTTGAAAGCATCATCGCTTTGCGCTGAATAATGTGAAGACCCACGCAACAGGCAAGTCGAGGTTCAAGGTTGCATGTGTTTAAATGATGTAATGGCGCGAGTTGTCACAAGTGCTTGGCTTTCAAGTCCACACCAGCTAATGCATTTCCTGACATTCTGGTGTGCTCCCCATCTGTGCTGAAATCCCTTCACTGAATTATTCACAGGAACGTTCAAGCGAAAGAGAAAATCTTACCAAATTTTTACTTCAGCTCTCACCAACCTGCAAATCTGAGCTGCAGCTAACATACAATCAGCTTTTACTGTGGATAAGACTATTTGAACTCATTTAACTTCAGCAAGTTTCTTAGTTCTTTTATGAATTCATGGATTACAGCTATTTTATTGAGGGGTGGTCCAAGTTAAATTGCCTTTGATAAACTACTTGCTTTCCCCCACAAAATACGCAGCAATCCACTTTATAGTATATCTTATGAAGCGCTTTTGAGATGTCGCAACGTGGAAAAATTATTATTATTACAAAATAATTAGAGAGTTTAACATTGTTTACACAGAGGTGTAATGTGTGAAGCCACGTGTTTTTCATGAATACAAAATAACATAAAAAAGCAATGTATAAAATGACATAAAATGAGAAAACAAGCACTGAATGCCACCACTCGTGCCGCCTGCTGAACCTTCCAGAAACCGCTCATGCCGCAGTAACCTCAACAACCGCTGTAACGGCGCCCGCTGGGTCGCTTATCCCAATCCACATGCCGTGGTCCGCCACAACACAAACTCTGATTGGTCACAACATCACCTCCAATTGGTGTGTCCCCCACCTCGTGACCTCGATCCCTCACCCACTCCCATGAAACGCGCTCTCTCACTGAAGATCTCGGAAGAGGGCGCTCGGTCATGGGGTGAGGGACAAACGGTAGCATTGTGGCGGCCATGTCACCAACCAGAGGCCGCGTTACTGTGGACCTTGGACAGAGAGTGAGCGGGCCAACGGCGGGTGGCATTCCGGCAATTTTCGGGGGGGCACGAGTGACTTCTGGAAGGCTTGTTGCTAGCAGTAGCGGTTGGTGCCCGTGGTTGGAGATGGGGAAGAGTTGACGTGGAGACGCATAAATGTACATGTAATAAAAGTAGTAAAATATTTTTAATGGATAAAACAAAATAACACTAAATTATGAAAAAAATGTTTATGTGGTATTAGTGAAGAACATAACCTGCATTTATAGTGCTCTTCACATGGGATAGCATCTCAGATTGCTAAACAGTGGCATAGTTTGACTCCGAACCACATTCTTTGCCACAAACTCATATTGAAAAGAGTTCATCAATGCTTTTAGAAGGGAATCAAATAGAAGTTTGAAGTGGAATGGTAAATGCTATTGGTAAGTAGGCAGGAAAGGGGGATTTGACTAAATTCATGCGAGAAAAACACCAGCACAGACATAATGGGCCAAATTGTCTGTTGCTGTTCTGCAACATTCTATGACAGAAACTGGTCATAGCTGAGTAACGTAGACATAGGAACCACAAAGGCAAATAATTCAGGTATGATTACTTTTAGAAACATTCACAGCAGGCTTACTCGCACTGTTAAAATCCAGTGGAATTGCCGTGACAAACATTGACATTTGAGAAGAAGCTATATTTTTAAATACATAAAGCTCACTGGGATGATTTTGTGAAATTGGTTTGAAGTGGCTTGTATTAAGCAAGGCAGCCACCTGATCTAGTGAGAGAGCATGCATTTATTTTGGTGGAACGTATTTGAAGATTGCAGTAAACTCGCCTGTAGAAAATATCAATAACACATTTTCAAGACAGACATCAATAAGAGGCACAGCAAATCCTCAGGCAAGCTGCGGAAACTCAATCTAATGGCATTCTGATAGAAACGGTTTCAGCCAGGCAGGGCTGGATGGTGAACACTTGGTATCATTTAATAACAATTTGCATTTATACAAAGGGGCTGCACTGTATAGGCAAACTTGGTAGTTCATTGGCTCCAGCAACACTCACAAACATCAAATAGATCAGGAGTTAAATCTGAATTTGTGTTGCAAATTTGGACTACAAGCCTGATGACCAGGAAAATAAGCTCCACATTTTTTTAAATAGAGATGGAATGGGAGAGAAAATTTGCATCGACCCAAATCACAAGTCTGATAGAATTTAAATCAACTCAATTAAGAAAGAGGTTGATGATCTGGATGGTCAATTAATTTGCATTTATTATAGAATGTTATTTTGTTTTTAGATAGTTCTTAGCTGGGTCAATTTGTCGCTGTTGTGACTTTAAAAAATCACGCCAACAAAACAGGGACTATACAATGTGATTTAATGGCTTAAATTGTCATTAATTTTGCAAAAATCCAGCTACTATAGTGAACATGCAAAAGAGGAGGGGAGACAACAGAAATATAACAACATTACATTTGTATAGCGCCTTTCATGTTGGGAGGACATCCCAAGGCGCTGGACAGTGTGCATCAGTTCAGCCGGAGCCAGCTGAGCGGAGGGAGCGGGTGGATTGGTAGGGGGTTAGGAGGTCACAGGGTGGAGCGAGGCCATTGAGGGCTTTGTAGGTGAGGACCAGGATCTTGAACTGGATCCTCTGAAGGATAGGGAGCCAATGGAGTCGGGCGAGAATAAACCAACAGAGAAGGTTCAAAACAGCCAGAGCCCAAAACAATCATTCAAAATTCCGAGTATAAATGAAAGGGGAAAACAAAATAGTAAAGAAACAAGTAAACAATAATGAAGCAATCAGTTTGTAATATATGGGCTTGTGAAGAGATTTAGGGCTCCAGAATTAACAATGGAGGCATCGTGGACTTTCACACCAGCAAGACGAGTTCACTCTTGAAAGACAAGTTTAAAAAAATACGCACCTATACATGTGGAATGCATCTTGTAAAGCTTATGATTTGCTTTTCATCATGTGTAATAACAATTTAATGAAGAGCTGTGATTGCCAAGGTTGGGATAGTGTGCTGGCAAATATTTTTTCTTAATTCACCTTCCACTGAGTGGCAATTGGTCAAATGCAATCAAGAGCTACTTTTATGAGTGGAGATCAGAATGTATCAGCCAGGCATTTGATATCCTTAAATTTCGGGTACACCATTACTTTGACGGCATCTTTTGTCAAACGCCTTTGATCATTTAGCTTTTCGTAAGAAATACAAACGACATCAGCTGTGGTAAGCCTCACACAAAGCTCTGGGAGAATGCGGAGGCCAGCCTCTATGAGTGCACCTGTCTGCAGCAGACATTTTGATATATTGAAGACAGGTGGCTCTGCACACTTGGCCACCAACTTGCCAAGCCTCAGAAGTGATGGATTGCAAATCCGACGCCCTCACCCCCTCCTCATCCACGCTGCTATAAGAGATGCTAAGCACAGATATGAGCCCTGAAAGAGACTATTGAGCGTGTTCTGCCATTTTTTTTAAACCATAGCAGATCATTTTACTAAACCTATTTCTCCATATATTCTTCATGGTGATTAATTCATAAAAAATTATCTCTTTTTGAACTATCTTGATTAATTCAGTATCTGCAGCCTTCTGTGGCATTAAAGTCCACATTCACTCCACCTCTGATCTAAAGACGCAAAGGGGGTGGAAAGAAGAAATTCCCAATGAGAACAAACATTGCATTCGCCAATAATAATACTCGCATTTGATCTAGGGCCTTATCATGTCATTGAGACGTTACAAAGCACTTCACAGAATATATTGTAAAGTATATTGACTGTGTATTTTTTGGGTGAAATGTGGCAGCCAATTGTGCACAGCAGTGTCCTACAAACAGTCGTGGATTGAGTGACCATTTTTTTTAACGGATTATTACTCCCGGAAAAGCAATCTGCCAATCAACTAACAACTGTGTTTCTACTTACTGCTAGGTTTGTGGAGTAAAGAAATTTGCCTAACGTTTCGCCCCATCCAGGAATTAAACCCAGATCCTCTCACTTGCGACACACAGATAATATATATGGATGATCATCTTGAGTGGGGTAGAATAATGTGACAATGACTAGTAAAGCATACAAATAAAGCTTCAAAGTGGAAGAACTAGGTTTGAAGGGTTTATGTTAGTCAATATTTGTAGATTGCAATAAATTCAACAACTCAAGCATGCAGAATTCCAAGAGAATTCCAAGAAAGCACTCAGAATTCTGCAAACTGTTTTTTCCCCAAATCTTATATATAAGGCAGGGATGGGAAATAAGTAGAATGCTTGAATCATTTAGCACAGATCAAAGGGGATCTGGAGTCACACAGCAAGATACATCAGCAGTGCTAATCTAAACCTGCTGTGTGAGACTACAAATGCACAGCACGGTTCAAAAGCCAAGATAATGCCAACTCTGGACAGCTGAACCACAGTTATACATCTGCAGTAATTTTATAAAGAAGCAGTGCATAAAATACATCAACTAGACATCCACAACCTTCTGATCCAAATACAAGAAAGAGTGTTACCAACTGAGCCAAAATGAAATGCACAGTTCAACTGAGGATATTAATATTGGAACAATTAGCATTTATATAGTGCCCCTTATGCAGGGTAGCATCCCGGAGCACTTGACAGTGGCTGAGCACGACCCCAAACCAGCGGGAGGTGACCGTAGACACGGACAAAGAGTAAGGTCTTCAGGCGGAATCTGAGGATGGGGAAGGAAGGGGCAATGTGGAGAGATAGAGGAAGGGTATTCAGAGTTTCAGGACATAGTAGCTGAAACCGCGGCCACCGATGGTGGAACAGAGGGTACGAACAATATCTTTAGGTTCTCAAATACAAACAACATACATGATTGGACAAAATGAAGCACTGAACAAGAGCAATCTTTACCTGATGGTCCTGGATTTTCCGGCCCACCACTCTGAAAGTGTTGTTGCCAGTGTGGTGGTAAATGTGCACACGGCTGAAGCCAGTAGCTCCACCGGCTGGTATCCATTTCTTATTGGCATCGTCATACACCATAACAGCAGCCCGTGCCTGGCATATACTCTGTTCACTGCAAGCAAACAAAAATTCCAGGTTTACATTTATGCATCTGCTATATAAAATAATACCTTGCATCTCCTCAAAATGGAAGCTAAACATTAAGTTCACAGTAATGTCAAAGTTACAGAACACAGGCTACCCTCCTTACTATTTTTAATGATGTATGAAATATAAAATGCCTGAGTATACACAAGTATATGGACAAAGAATGCAGGAATAAATAGTCAAGTTCACATTATTAAAACCATATCTCTGTGATGTCCTGTAATGCTATTGACCGGGCTGTTGCCGCACACAAACACTGGCCTGTTTCATGTCTCCCACCCACTCTGCTCCACCATCGGTGGGTGAGCTTTCAGACATTTTGCCCTCTCTCTCTCTCTCTCTCTCTGGAACTCCATCCTTGAGCTCCTCTGTCTGGCCATTTCCCACTTTCCTGACTCAAGACCCATTTCAACTTGCAAGTCATCTGTCCGAACTAACATTTACAGATTATATCTGATAATCTGCTGTAAAATTTACTTTGTTACTTTAAGGTTTCAATGGATTGTGGTAATGGCTACCACTTTTGTGACTCGCAACATTCACTCAACATTGGTTCAGAGGTTGTTACAATTAGATCTTCTCAAGTGATTGGATTTACATTAGATGAATGAAGCACGTTCCAGGGCATACAAGATGAGAACACATTTTTTCCACTGTGATTGCTCCACAAATTGGCCTAAAAGATTACAGCAGTGTAAACAGGTGCTAGAACTTTACGGTTTCAAAGTGTATCTAAGCAGATGAAACATGTGACTATTTAGAATAGACACCAAAGGTGGAATTTCACATCTACAGACAGTTGTCAAAGAATAGTTAAGACAAAGAGGTAACGTTGTTGGTTGAAACTTTTACCTCAACTGAAGTGAGCTATTCAACGGAATGCAGAGCAAATAAGAGTTTGGGGGTGGGTGTATATTGGGACATATAGGGAGATGGTTTAAAGGAAATGGTGAGTGCTGAAATGGATAAGTTTTAATAACAGCATTTGATAATAGCGAGTTATCACGCCGTTGATTTTGCAGGCGATTACAATGAGTGACTAAGCCAGGAAAGACAAAATGAGAACCCCTGATAAACTAGCAGTTTGTGAATTAATCTGCATCTATATGTTTATAAAATTATATACATACACGTGTGCGTGTATAATGTGTATAATTTTTATACATATAGAAGCAGATGAATTCATGTTCCTATAATCAGGAACCATAATTTGCAACACATGCATATATCAATTCTAAACTGTGAATAAAAATGTACTGATGGCAAAACTGCTGCTCAGTCATGATAATCTTCATTTATATAGTGCCCTTCATGTAGGAAAATGAGGTATCGTGGCTTACAAGATCTATATCTAAATAGTTCTTTATATTTCTGAGCTCATGGAAATGCAGTGGAGAGGTTTCCTCTAGCTTATTTGCAAAGTCTTGGATCAAGCAGTGAGATGGATTGCCCTGTGGTAAATAAGGAGGGAGGCTCTGCCATCCATTGGCCTGTTCTGAGAACCCTGTAAGACAGGTGGATTCTGCAGAAACATCCATTTAACAAAACTTCTCACATGAGGATTAAGCAGTTGGTGCTAAGTTAACCTGGTGTGTGGCATTCAACCTGGACATCAAGGTGGCTGGCACATCATAAGATGCCCTATAAAGGACCTCCCACTACGCTGAAGGCAGATGTCCGTCAAATAGCTGATGAAAAAAACGTGAGGCTTGGACGACAACTGTTGGAAGTAGCTACCTCTGTCTGGATTTGTTAACACACGGTCATATATCCAGGGCTTGCAATCCACCCGATTGATGTGTAGAGAGGTAAGCAGCTGCTGTTCAAGCTTCACACCTTGAATTGGTGGAACCATCACTCAATGGTAAGGGTATGTGTGTTGAGCTGTGAGCAGGTTGATGGTAGCCATACAGTCACACGTTTCAAGCTGAGCTGTGTTGTTCACCAGGAAGATCACAGGGAGTTCCTGGTACCTGCCTTCCACCTAGTGCGGGCTTAAACCTGCACTTGTATGATGTCAATGACCAACTAGTGACTGTCCTCCTTGCCGGCGAGGTGAACTGAACTCGCTCCGAGATGATATGCTTGGCAATGAAATGTGAAAATCAATAAGCCTCAGGAAGCCCGCTGGACAGTTCTGCCTTGGCTCTTGCCAACGTGTGCCTAATATTCTCCAGAAGGCAGAAAGATTTTGGAACCAGAGTGTCTAAAATCTCGACCATCAATGGTGGGGCAGAGAGAAGCAAGGGAGACAGCAGGTTTAAGTTTCCCAAACAACCATACAATTCAAATTTACATTTTTATAATCCCTTTCACATTGGGAGCTCACCCAAGGTGCTTAAGTTTAGGTTTACAGAGAAGGTTGCCAAGATAGGGTAGGTCATGAAATTTAAAGATCTTGAATTCTTAACTTCTAACAACTATAAATGTTTTAGCAATGTTTCAGCAAAACATCAAGGCAACACCATTGGTTCTCAATTTTACAGTGAGAATCAGCCGACCCAATTTCAGCTATCTATAAACTGTGTCTGTAACTGGTTAACCACTTAACACATTATCTAATTACTTAACAATGAACAGAATTAAACTTTTCTGAACCGCTGTTCAAAGCACACACTTCTGACAGCACAAGAGTTTTTGTAACTGAAGCATGGACGATTATCAGATCATGGTTACTCACTTTGCAACTCAAAGTATTTAGTTATTGAGAGCTACACAATTTATAGCACGCTTAAGAGGAAAATTAATTCTTTCCCACTTTATTTTGCCCACAAAACCAATCAATCCACTTTACAATATATTCAGTGAAGTGCTTTGAGACGTCTCAATGTCATGATAAGCCACTATATAAAATGAGTATTACTATTTATTATAACAAAATACTATTTGTACACATTTGCACTCGAAGACTAAAGACTACTGATGTGCTCAGGAAAGTGCCTGAAGTACTCCTGAGAATAGGGAATCTGAGAGGAAACCCTACATCAGACAGCAAACAAGAACCCAGTTGTTGCAGCTGTTCCCTCAGTTCAGTAAAATGGAGATGAACAGCAAACAGCTGCTTTCACTACCATCCAGAGAACCAGTCCTTCAAGCATTGATGACAATTCATGTCCTTATTTAGAAAAGGACACCACAATCCAAATTATAACTGTGGATTAGCTTAAAATAACTCAACGTTGTTACTGTGCATCTAGTTTGGCAGAGTTGCTTCTGGAGAGTATGGTATGCATTCTGCTCTCTTATTCAGTTACCTATACAGCACAATCTTCTGATGATTTGAAGGTTGCCAGCCCAGGACCCAATTGCACCACCACTTCAATACAACTGTAACAAAGTACAAAGCTTAATGGCATCAATGTGCAAATACAATGCAAATGGTGGTTATTAGTTGTTGCACCATATACATTTCCCATAGATTTATATATAAATATATATATATTTACCTCGCCCTAGTTTTCTTAAGAGGAAAACTAATTCTTTCCCACTTTATTTTGCCCACAAAACCAATCAATCCACTTTACAATACAACACTCACATTTTTACAAACGAACACACCACTCCATGCAATAAGAGCTCACCTAGTGAATGATCAAACCTGGGACTGTTGGAATCAAATGATCAACTCATAAACTCATAAGATGGGTCAAAAGAAAAGTGTGGAAATATCTGTCGTGAATTGCATGGAAATTTGGAGATTTGGCTGAAAATTGTGGGGAGTTGATTGGTTCTATTTAGGTACATTTTGTGAGAATTTGTTGTTGTAAACTAGTTTGGCCAAATGGCCTGTTTGCATGCTGCAAGGTACTATAGCACGTGACTAACTCATTATCACAATACACCCAATAAAAATCAAACAATAAAGAGGTACAATAAAGAATCAGTTTTTGAGCTCACAGTTTAGACTAACTCCAATGCAGTGCCGTTGCATTATCTGAGGTGCTGTCTTTTGGATGAGATGTTAAACGGAAGTCCCTGTTAAATCCAGTCGTGGATTGAAAATGACCAATTTATTATTGTTTTGTTTTGGAGGGATTATTATTAGGAGTGTGGAGTAAGGAAACTTGCCAAAGATTTCACCCTGCCTGGAATTGAAACCAGGTGTCTCGCTCGCAAGGCGAGTGCTCTAACCATGAGCTACAGGACATAAGACAAGGTAGTTATTGCCAACAATAAACCAGATAAGTTGATCATTGAATGCATAATAATAATCCTTGCATTTGATATAGCGCTTTTCACGTCGGGAGGACGTCCCAAAGCGCTTCACAGAACACACTGTAAAGTGAATTGACTATATATTTGTGGGCGAACGTGGCAGCCAATTGCGCACAGCAATGTCCTACAAACAGTCAGATTGAAAATGACCAATTTGTTATTGTTTTTGGTTTTGGAGGGATTAGGATTCACAAACAGCATGGCTGTTTGTGGATCCTAGCTCTGTGTAAAATGTCTGCTTTGTTTTGCAGAGAAGGTTTTAATTAAAAAGGTTTTGTAATAAATGGTGGTGTTTGTTTTACCAGAGCTTGAGAAGAGAGCTGTGGGAAATCAAGCAACAGTTCTTGTATTTGATAAAGCAGCATCACCTTGAAAAGTCTTAAAACATTTCAGTGTATTTCTGTTAAGTGTACTGTATTTGCAGGCGAATGCAGCATCTAATTTGCATGTAGCAGTGTCCCACAAGCAGCAATGAAGTAAATGGAGGACTGTTGGCCAGGACACAAGGAAACTTCCTTCTCTTTTCAAGCATCTTGTGTCATGGGATCTTCAATGTCCTTTTGAAAGACAGGCATCTCACTTTAATACCTCATCCCAAGAATGGCACCTCCCACAAAGAAGCACACCCCCCAGAGTGCAAAGGAGTGTCAACTTAGTTTATGAGCTCAAATAAAGTTGAAAATACTGAAAAGGTTTGAGAGCATAAACACTGAACAACTTGCAGTGTTTATTGAGAAACACAGCAATATT